ATTCCTGCTTTTCAAGCAAGCGTTTTTCTCCTTTTCCCTCCCCTAAATGGCTCAATTGCTTCAAGGAAGTGGAAAGAGAAGATGACAGTAGTGATGATGATGATGATGATATTGAAAGCAGTTTGCCACAGGATCCAGAAACCTGTCTGCAGATGAACCATGTGTACCAGGAAGTTATCCAGGAAAAGATTGAGGAAGTTGAGCTTCTCCTTGCACAAAACAAAGAGCAGCAGGTGAGTGGAACAGGAGTAAAATGTTTGTTGCTGGGCTGTTCTGGGCTGCCATTTGCCATCTGCCCTTGACATCAAGCCCAGTAAAACTTTCCAGGGCATTCCTAGACCACCACATGTACCAGTGGCATCGGCTGCAGCAGCTGCAGTCTCTCATGCTCAGCTGGCTTGGTCAGGAACCAGGCTCTTGTTCTTCGTGGCACTTCAGACCGATGTCACTTGAGTGGCCTTCAGATGGCTTTCCTGACTGATGTTTCCATGCTTTCTTATCACCAAAAATGCAGCACTTGGGTATTTTATATTTTAGCTTCTTTTAGCAAGTTAGTGTTTTTCTTAATCACCTGCAGTGCACTGCACAACCTTAGGAAGCTCCAAATCGCATCTTCAACACGTACACTGATTTACACTCTGGTGTAAATTGAGTTTGACCCCTGCCTGGGATGTTTGTGATGGTTCAGCCACTGCTCTCCAAAAGTAGGAATTTGAAGGAGACACTGATGCTGTTTAATTCTCGTATTGCAGAAGGAAATCATGTGTGAGCTTGGAGGTCCAAAAATAGCAAAGGCAGGAGACGGCAGAAATCTACCAGCAAATATATTTTTGGGTCACTTTATGAAGCCATACTTTAAGGATAAAACAACAGGAATTGTAAGTAAACATCACTAGGTTACTTACTGATGTGTCTTTCAATGATAGACTGAAATTGTAACTGTGCTAGAACTGTGTTACCTTTCAACTGTGTAACTGTGAAAGTCACTCCTCACTTTGAAACTTCATTTTTTATCTCATGTATTGTTTACTGTCTTTTGGGAATATTTGTTCAGCCCACGTCTGTGATGCCTGGAAGTGAGTTCTGAGGAGAGGCATTCCAGCCATGGGCACTTCACCATTCATGTTTTCAACTTGACTGTGATGGATTGTCTTCATCTCCACAGTCCAGTTCCATGCTGCTGCTTAAAGTACTCTTGAAATCTGATTGTCTTTGAAACTGAGTTTTCTGAGGCAAATGTCACTACTTTTCTTCCCTGTGTTTTTGAAGTGGTGTTAGCAAAAGGGGATCTTGACTTTCAGTTGTAGCTGAGATGTCAACTGTCACCATTCTTAACAAGTGTTGCCTGGTAATTTGTCTATTAAATCCTACCCAAGGTGGTAGCACATCTGAAGTAGGTACAAACACATGTAGTACGTGTCCCTGTGTTGAAAATGCTTTTTCAACTGTCAACTAACATGAGCAGGCCTGGCTCTGAGCTGGGAGTGTGCTCTGTCAGCACAGACAAACTTCCTTCCTTCAAGTATCTCTGTTTTCTAAGGTCTTCTGGTGTATCCAAGCTAGTGTTAGTAAAGGTAACTTTGCAGTTTGAATGTGGCAGTTTGCACAAGGTTGAGTTACCTGTCTTTTCTGTAACAGTTCATGGTATGCTGCAGTTCTAAGAAGAAAGGGTGATTTTAATGTGTATCTGACTCTTCCAGTATATATAACCCTTGTAATCTTCATTAGGGTCCTCCTTCCAATGAAGATGCTAAGGAAAAGGCAGCTCAGGGCATAAAATCCTTTGAACAACTGATTTCAACAAAATGTAAGTAACCCATGTGCTGTTCAGTGTTCCATAAGAGCTGTAACAAATGTATGTATTCATATTGTTAGTCCCCCACATTTGCAGTTAAATGTTCTGATGTTTTGTACTTGACTCTCAAAAAAGGCAGTTAGAAATAAATGGGATGTTCCAGAAATTGTTCCAGGGAACGATTAACAATTCCCTTCCTTCATTTGCATTTGTTCTGATGCAATAACCCCGCGAGCTCTCCAAACCCAGATGAGATCATGCAAGGGCACTGCTCAGATCAGAGCAGTTCCAGGGACACTTGCAGCCCTAGATGGTTCCAAACACCTCAGTGATGATCTTTATTGAGCTCTGTGGAGCTGAAACTGAGCAAGAGGCTGTGACTTGCCTGAGTCAGGCATGATATTAGTGATTTAGATAGGGAGCTGTTATTGGAGACCTGGGGAATGCTTTAGCAGTGGATCTCTCTTTTTCTTGGCAGTGGCTTTGCACTAATGTCTGAATGCTCAATTATGTTGTCTGGTTTAGGGAAGAGCAGGGAGAAGACATTACTGCAGAAATCAGTGGTCAGTGACCGCTTGCAGCGCCTGCTCCAGCCCAAGTTACTGAAGTAAGTACTGTGCAAAAATCTTCTTTCTCCTGATGAGAACATTATATATGAAGGAAGGAGAGGATATACGTGGAGACTGCATCTTCCCTCAGCAAGTCCTGTGGGCACCAGTGCAGAGGGTGACACTGTTGTAGGTAGCAGCATCTTTCATTTGCTGTTGACATCTGTATTACCTGTGCACACACATCATACCAAAGGGTCTTGGACTGCAGTGTTCTGACCATAAGCAATAGGTTACAGCATTCAGATTGGGTTGTAAATGCTTGATGCTTGTTTCAGGAGTATCTGGCAGGTGGAGAGGTTTTATATTGTATTGAGGTGTC